CATTTTGCTTAAAAGAGATGTGATTAATCTCATTTGAAGAAATATTTCTAATCTAACAATTATAAATAAAATTTTTTTTAATTAATTATTTTCAAAACAGTAACAGTAACAACACTTGCTCTTTAATAATATTGTTATTTAGCACTAAAAAGCTTTTCACGATCATCCAATTAAGTAAATCAAATATTCGGTGAGGTCTTAAGCGTTCCACTAGGCTCAATACTCCTCGACTCTTTACCTCACAATATATTCATTAATGATACAATCTCTGACCCTATAATTAATATTATTCTACCACATAATCTATATTTTCATTAAAATTAAATTCATATTTGTTATTCGAATGTTCAGTATTGATCATGCATCTACATACATTCATAAGGCTGCCATTCATTACTGATTTATACAAAAAAAATTTCTAACAATATTAATTTATTTACTATAGAAAAATGTTTTTTCCCAAGACCAAGTGACATTATTACTATTTCCATATCACGAATACTTTCTAACAGTAATTTTATTGTATCAATTACTATACACACACACAATCACTTCAATTTCAAAACATCCTATTCACATTCATTGTAACCTATATTATTACTATAGTACTGCAGAATTTCTTTTTGCCCAAACAATTAGAAAAACAGGACAACGACAAGTTAAACCTAAAAGAAAACATAACATTAAAATAAGAAAATATTTTGTTAAAAGCAGTAAAATTATATAAAAAAAAAAAATAGCAAAAATAATAATAAAAAGTCAAAAATAATAAATACGATCTGTAGCTCTTACATACACATATATAAAATGATAAAAAAATGGAAACAATTTTAATTCTTTATTTTTTTGTTTTGTTGTTTTTCATGTTCACAAATAAAATAAAGAGTTTTTTTTTATCCATCTTCTTATATGAAGGATATTGTTAGAAGGATCTTATATAGAAAGAAAAATGAAAAGAAATGGAGAGAAATAAAAAATAAATCAAATGACGACACGACTGACATACCATTAAAGCGTTAGTAAAATGAATTATTCATTAAAAAAAAAAAACACAAACATGAAATAAATCGCAGATTTACAAACAAAAAATTAAAAACAGGACAAAAAATAATACGAAAATTAAAAATTTTTGGTTTATTTAATTTTTGAAGGATATACGAAAGAAAGATTTTAGATTTTGTTTAGTATGATAGGCATGTCAAAAGAATTTTTGTTTTTCATTCCTATTTAGTATAGGTAAAGAAAATAAAGAATTAAGATGAAAATATTTTTGATTTTTCATGAATGTCGACTATATATGTGATGTTATTTGCTATTTTGTCCTTGAAATTCCTAATTTATACTAATTTATTATCATCCATTGCAAGCGCACAATGTTATTGAATACAAAAATGTACCATTTTTAAGAGCGCAAGAGGTCAATACAATTACATTAAATTATGTTTGAATATGGGACGTGTATTTCTTTTTAAATAATATTTGTAATGCTACTTGACTAGATCAAAAACTATAGGGAATTAATAAGACTAGCAAATTTTGTTCTTTATTTTCCCGCATTTAATAAAATTTAGTGTTCTCTTTATTATCCAATTAATTATTCTTAAAATATTTAAAAGAATTTTATATCAATAATAAAAACTTACATGGCCAAAATATTTTTTATAAAAAAAATTTTTGACGTTTGTTCATGTATTTTGCACACTGCTTGTATTTTAATATTATAAATTCTTTCCTTTAGTTTTTCTCGTAATATTTACGCCAGTAATCAATGAGAATTAAAATTATTTATAATTCTACAATTTAATATTATTATATTATACAAAAACTGTTATACAAAAAAATAGTATCTTGCAAAGTTGAATTTCAGAAAAATTATAAAAATCTATTTCTTAAATTTATTCTTAAAGGGATGCTAAATAGAATTTGCCGCTGGCAGAAATCAGTTTAAAATAAATTTTAATATAGATATTCTATCGAACTGCAGTTCAGAACGTTACATTATGACCACATGATTTCCAATGTAATCTTTTATATTTTCAACAAACATACACAATTTCAATTTACCTTTTAAAATTTAAAATAATAAAGAAAAGAATATCTACTTGAGCTCGCGTTCTGAAATATCCTTTAATTGGATTTTAAAATCAAATGGTCTGTATCAAAAAAAATAATGGCAGTTTTTTATCAAATAACTGTGAAAGCAACTGTGAAGCCAAGAAAAAATTATTAAATTTAGTGAAAACTTTGAATTTTTCCAACTACTATAGGAATTTTATTTTTCCATATAATTTTGTTCACATATTCTTAGGCAAAACTATAAGGCAATTTAATAAATTTAAAAATAAAAATTGATGTTAATCCATCTTGTATATATATGTAGCTATAACTAAAATAAAAATTTAATTTAATATTATTAAAGTTAAGCCTTCTTTTATCATACACACACGTACGTATTATGCATATGGCCCTCAAAAAATGATTAATATTAACCGCATTATTATAATATACAAAAAAAAAAAAAATAAGTAAAAAGAATTTTCTTATAATATCCTTGAATATATTAAATATTATTAAATTTAACATATTATATGAGTGTCGACATTTAAATACACACATATCAACATATTATGTGTACAATGTATATTTTTATAACTATGAATTTTAACTTTTATTTTAAGGGATAAAATAATTTCTTGTCGCTTTCTTATTTCATTTTTCTTTTTGCATATTTTTGTTATTTTTGTACTTTTCTTTTTTGTAGCAATAAAAACTAACGACATTTCTCGTTTGACCAAAAATGAAGAGAAAGAAAATGCAAAAAAAAAAGGATTCATTGTAGAATTTTTTTTTTTATTTTAACAATTTTTATTTCTTATTTTTTTCTGTTTAATTTTTGTTGAATGTTCAAAAAGAAATTCTATTTTTGGGAATTTTTACTCATTCTTCTGTTCTCTCTATATATACAAAAAAAAAGAGAATATTAAAATATGTTGAACAAAATTTTTGTTTTTCTTCTGTTTTGCTTTCTTTCTTTTTTAACATTCTTTTTTGATAGTTTTATACTTTTTGTCACTAGCTATTTACAAAATACAAACACACATACAGTAGAAAGAGGATAAAAGTCAATTAATCATTAGGAAAGAAAATAAAAAATTAAAAAAAAAATAGAGGAAAAAAATATTATATAATCCTTTTTTTAAAAAAAAAAAAAATAAATGCGGCAAAAAATTGCATATATTTAGGCGTAACATATTATTTATTTCATATATTTCAAGGTTTTTGTTAATTCAATATTAAAGTGAGAGAAATAGAAATATCGAATTTTAAAAATTAAAACGAGAGAATTGGTTTTTATTAATATTTTTTGAGTATTTGTTTGAATTTTCTTGATTTTGTTGTTGAAAATGTTAGTAGTCAACATTTTGATTTAAAGAATTTAATCATAATAATAATATTGTTACTTACTTACAAGACAGTATATTATTAGAATATTTTATTTTCACTATTGCTTGCAGTAGAAATGAATGTGTAATTTTTCAGAAAGGAAGTGTAGTATGACCTTTTTAAAGCTTGAATAATAAAGTATAACAAAATATTTTCGTTTACAGGATCTTGCACCATTTTCTAAGAAATTTTATTATAAAATTATTGAATTCAATAAATTTTAATAAATATTTTTAAATGAATTAATTTAGTTGAGTTCTATCCTGTAATTTCCTCTTACATAATTACTAAATAGGATCACTTTTTAGAACGCAAACACTAAGTCATTCTTAAAATTGTACAATATAAAATTTTAAAATGGGTATATATTATGAAAGTTCTAAAATATTTCTAATTCCATTTAATTTTTACTTAAACTTTTCAAATGGTAAATCAAGATTAACATAAGCGAGGAAAAAAAAAAAACAAAAAATAGAAAATAATTCTAAAACAATTCTAGATTTTTATAGCTATAGCAACTAACCCAAGCTGTCATGCTAAAATTTTTTCTTTCACATAAATTTTGTAAAAATATAAAAATAATTTTAGCATTTTTTTTTACATTTTCTATTGTTGTAATTGTAATTTTCGGTGGTCTTTTGTTTTTGAAAATATTCGGCAAAAACAATAAAAAATTTTAATAAATAATTTTTTTTTTACCATTGTTTAAAATAAAAAATAATTTTTGATTTATTGCATATGTACATGCATTTAAGGATTATTTTATGAGCTAAAATATTGAATTTGAAAATTATTATTTAAGACCGTTTATAATTTAGATTTATTTCAAGGCGAAATTTATAAATCAGAAAATTTAAAAATATCATAAAAATTTACATAAATTTTTTTTAAATGATTTATTATTTTTATGTTTTGTGTATTAAAACAAATTAATCGAATAAACTTAAAACATTATAACACCAAGCAAAGTTTGTTTTTCTGAACTGTACAAAATGTGATTGATACAAGTACATTGTTCGAATGTATTACGAACATTCAGATATGTAAAATTATTTTTATTTTTTACTGTTTCATATTTGCTTAGTTCTATATGCCTCTACACTTATACAATGTCATACTACACTACACTCTCCCTCTCTTCAAGTTTATTTATAAAATAAAGGAAAATTAAACGATGAAGTAAAATGTAACAGAGCAATAAACTGAGTCGGGTATAAAATGAGTAAAATGTACGAAGAGTATCAACTGCCATAACACTAATTGCACTATGCTACGAGCAGTATTTCACTTCTCTTTTTCATTTTAATTCTACATATTAAATTTCTGTTGCAACTTGCAAGCATAAAAACATTTTCTCCAGATTTTATACAAAAAATTTCCCATTATCCTCGTATTTATTAGCTTTAAACTCAATAATTAAAGCATTCTAATCAAATTTATATTATAAATTTTAAAAATTCTATATTTATATATAATAAAATTATTTAATTAAAATTTTAAATTTTTGAAATTATTAACACAATGCTAATGTACATTTCATTATTTTCTATTTTCAGGTATGTACAACAAAATTTATTTAATATTATATAACATGAATCCTCCATTACTTAGGTAACTATTTAAAAAAAAAAAAATTTTAATATTTTTAAACCCTTTTAATTTTTCTTAAAATAGTGAGTGGGTTTTTGTTTTGTGGCGGTTTCTCTTAAGAAATTTGAGTATTAAAACTAAATTTTAATCTTCTCATTTTCTTGTATTTTAGTTTTTTCTTATGTTATTTTTTAAGTGTTAAAATTATAATAGCATTTTATAATAGCACCCCCATAATAATGAAATAATATAAGAGAAAACTAAAAAATTTTTAAGAGAAAAAATTATTTCTTTTGAATTTTTTCTGAAGATGTAAGCAGAAAAGAAAAAAAAAGTCCGAAAAAAAAACATTAATTTCAACCAAAAAAAAAAAAAAGAAACAAAAATTTTCATGATAATAAATTCAATCCTGTTATACAAGGATGATTAAAGAAAACAAAAAGAAACAAAAAAAATAATAACAAAACCAAAATAATACATTAACAAAAAAGTTTTAATTTCAAACTTTTGCTCTTCTTCTGTTTTTCTGTCTTTTGTTGTATAAAATATAATGTAAACGATATAATGAGGTAAACAACAACTAAATAAGAACAAAAACAAAACCAAGAAAAAAGAAAAACTTTAAAAATAAATTTTTTTTCAAGATAACAACGGGTTAATGACGAGCAAGAAAAAAAAAAGTCAATAATGATTACTCAACTTTTTATAAAATAACTTAATTTATTTTTGTTTTTTTTTTTCTTGGAAAAATCGACCATATTTTCAAAAATTAAGAAGCTATGTATATAAAATGAGTTATCCTGCCAACTGAATGGGTTATTTGAGCTTCAAATAAAGATTGAATTGATTAAGAGAAGCTGAGTTGTGTGTATTGAGTAAATTAAATTTTAAAGTAAAACTTTGTGATTACTGGATGTTCTCATGTTGTGTTTCTTTGTCACTCTTAAATAAATTCTTCGTTAAAGTGAAATAAGAACAAAATTTGTATATTAACAATTGAATTTTTATTTTTGTCATTAATTTGCTATGAGAATAAAAATAATAGAAATTTCTTCAATGTGGAAATTTTCTCAATTTTCCGGTAATTACTTAATACCTCTGCTCATGTTAATTGTTACCTCTACTCAATTCCGCCTAGAAAATGGGAAAAAAATTAATATAAGAATAAGCATTTTCTTTCATATCCAATTTTTAATATTATTTCATACTGAATTTCATATAGAATTTCATATAGAAGTCTTTTATACGAAAACCTAATAGAATTAAATTATTTATTAGGAATATTTTGAATCAAATGAGTTATTTCCAACTAATTTACCCAAAATGGTTAATTAGTCAGAGAATACCCAAAATAGTGTATCAGATAATACTCCAATTATATAATTATAGATTTAGTTCTAATTTCTTAATTTCATTTAATCAAGAAATCATATACTATTTAAAATAAATTTGTCAAGTATATTCCTTCATAGAAATTAATTAATTTATTTAAAAAAATATTTTTAATTTACTACAATATAATTATAAAAATTTCAAAGATAGAGACAATTAACTACACTAAATGCCAACTATTTTAAATGTGATTAAAATTTCTTAATTAAATTCTTTAATTTGCAAATTTATGTCCCAGTCAGTTTTCTAAAATATTCATTCCAATATATAATTTATATTTATTATATTGTAACAATTTCTCTTAACAAACTTATTAATTTAATTCAAAAGAATTTTTCTCATATAAAATTAAATCATTTTTCAGTAATAATGTCAATATTATTAGGCTCTAATATAATCATATCCAAAGTGATTTTAAATCAAATGATGTTGTAAAATTTTTAAAAATAACTAATATTTTTTCCAGCTAACATCATTCATATATATTATAGTTTATTGATATAGTTATAATATTATAATGTTAACATAATCTTGCATATTATATAAAGAATTTATATTGGGATAAAAATTATGTCCTAAATAGTATACATATTTTCATACATAATAATATTATTATACTACGTAATAATAACAACATGTTATTAACCTAATTTTTATATACTTAAGTATACACACTAAATGTGAAATTTTGCGTGAAAAAAAGAAAAAAATTGGTGAACACTTCAATAAAGACAACACAAAAAAACAAGCAGAAAAAAACATGAAAAATTCGAAAAAAAAAAAATAAGAGAAGAAAAATGCTAACGCATCTCTTTACAAAAATTATACAAAAGGATATTATTTTTGATAAAAGTACAAACACAAAACTTTTTTTAACTCTTTCATGCTATTTTTGTTATATAATACTAAATATATATACTGTTATTTTTATTGAGATATAATTGTTGTTGTTATTGCCATTTTATACATACATAGATTTTATAGTAAATGAATATAGGTCTTGTATTATCCTTTAATTCCTATAATATATTTTTCTATACATTGAAAAATTGAATAATGTACAACAATATATTCCAGTTGTTTTTTTTAAAAAAAACTATGAATCAATGATCTAAAAATAAAATTAAATTCTGGGGCTAAATATACTTAATTTAGTAAAATAGTTGGAAAAATATTTTTGTTCCAGGAGAAAACATTTTAGCGTCAGGAATATTCTATTAATAACGCTAATTTTAATTGATTTACTCCCTATTGATGATAACGTTAGTATTACAATTAGTTTTGTAACAAATACTGTTAATGATGCGGTAGTAAATTTTATTTATTGGCGATAGTAAATAATATTGTATTATAATTTTATATTTGAGAGAGAAATGTACTGCTATAAAAAATTTAAAATAATTTCTCTCATATTATAAAATAATATTGGTGTATTATATTAATGTGTTAATAATTAAATTGAGAGATAAGAGAATAGTAATGTTTTCAAAATAATATTGTTTAGACATTTAGTATGCGAAAGAGCATTAGCTTTGATTAGATACTAAAACTAAATTAGTATTGTTAGACATTGCATCAATAATAATTTCGTAATGAGGGTAGTTCCACTATAAAAATTAGAAATACTATTATTAACACAACGAAATTGAGGCTGTCATTCACATAATCGCTTAAAAATTCTAATATTTTTTGCCTACATTATTAATTTTATTCTACAAAATATAAAAAATTTAAATAACACTCTTCTAACAGGTGCTGATTATCGTTGAGATCATATACCACTTCATCTGTCTATTTTAGAATTTATATTTCTAAATCACCTCATTTATTTATCTAATTAAATTATTATAGACTTCAAAAGTGTTAACAGTTTAACCAGCAAAACTGAAAAATTCTAAAAATCCTGAATTTCCGATATTCTAGCAGAAATTTGTGAATAACTCAAAATAAACAAGAAATCTCTGAACATTAACCTATACAAAAAAAAAATTTTAAAAGGAAAAGGAAACCCTTTAATTTTTTTTTTTGCTGTTTTTTGATCCCATGTCGCTGTTTTCTTTGTTGAAAGTGCGCGGTTAGGCTTTCAATAATTTTCACTTTTTCCTCTTCTTCACTATATCTAGGACATATCTAATACATGTATAAAGACATATTCCGTTTTATCAGCTCAAATTCTAAAAAAAAAAAGAAAAAAAAGATCAGAATTTTTTTTTTTTTTGAATCACAGTTCACTTGATTTAAATAGTGCTTTTATTTTTTATCCTCTATATATTTTTGGTTCAATGACGTACCTATATTCTACCTATATACCTATATATGTACATACATCTATTTATATGATATTCGATGATTCGATCTGGTATATTTTGATATACTTTTCATACTCTTGTTGTTTTTATGTTTCATTTATAGTTTTTTTTTTGCCCTGACTGACACAAATGTTCATCGTCATGAAGGTTTTTACATTCCTCTCTTCAGCATTTCCTTCATTCCATCGATGTCATAATATTATCTGTTCTCTTCTTTTATGTTATATAGGAATAGGAAGAATGATTATACAAAAACAAGAAAAAAAAAAGAAAACAAAAATATTTCTAGTTTTCTCGTGGAATTTTTTTCAAAGAAAAAAATTGATATTCAATTTTTTTTTTTGGATTTTGTTTTCTTCTTCTTCTTTTACTAATTAGAAAAACGGTCCAATAAAGTTGAAAAGAAAAAAAAAAAACAACAAAACAAAAAATATATTTTTTTTTTCATTTTCGAAAATTTTTTTTATTTTCTTATTTTGTTTTATTTTATTTTACGAAAAATTCCTGATATGCCGATGATAATTCCAATGTTTTTGAATGTAACAAGAAAAATAATAACAAAAAAAATATTAAAAATCGTTAGATTATTCGATTTACAAGAAAAAGAAAAATTAAAAAATATTCAAACCATGTTATCCAAATTTTTTTTTTTGTTTTTTCTTAATTTCAAACTGAAAAATTATCATATAAAAATGCTATAAATGAAATTTAATTGGTACATACATATATTTTAATTTAAAGAGATTTGAATGGCGAACTTAAAGGTCTAGCAAGATTAGGATTTTTTTTTAAAGTTGATTTTTAAATTATATTAAGAAATTTTCATGATTACGTTAAATAATATAATTTCAATATTGATACAATTAAAGTAAAATAAAAATTTTCAATTACTCAAATTTGCTATTACGTACTTTACTCTCAAACTTTTCATTCTCTCTTTATTTAACTGTTTAATATTGTTTCTGTTCGAGTTTTTTATCATTTTAAAGCTTATTCCCGATTTAAATAACAATCGCGTGGAGTTGTGGGTAATTACCCACAGTATGGGTAATTACAATCTCGTTTTACCCACATCAGCAAAAGTCCCATTTAAGAAAAATAATTACTCTTGGTATAATTTTACACAAAAAAGTAATTAGATTAGGGTAATTACACTAAAAAGGAGTAGAAAATGAAACGCTAAGAATTTGAAGTTAAAATTACTACGAACACAATATTAATACGAGTAAATAAAATAATTTGATAATTCATGCTTTTCTGTAAAAAACTATTTTGACAAATAAAACCAAACATTGTATTTGATATAAGAATCTCTAAATTTTGTTTTGAAAGCATAAGAGAAAAGAGGGCTATTTCCTTCAAATTTGAGAATGA